GCCCATCGGTAGCAGATCCCAGCCATGGTTTGGACGCTCCTGTAAAATAGCATCACGTTATAAGCAGGAGTGCTACCGGGCCTGGGCTGACGCATCAACGTCTCGGGATTTAAACACCAGCGCACTTAAAAAGAAGTATAATTCCGCCTCCAGGTCCTTCAAAAGCATCATTGCCAAGGTCTCAGCACATCGGCAGAATTGGCAAGAAGCTAGTTCGCCTCCCTTCGGGAACCCGTGCATTCTGGTCTCTCGCCACGGCTGTCCAAGGGAACTTCTGTCAGCCATCCCTTCCATCTCTGCACAGAGAGGACGACTCACTGGCCCATGACGCAAAAGAGAAAGCCGATCTGTTGTGCTCTCTTTTTGCGTCTAACTCGACTCTAGATGACGGGGGGAAGACACCGCCGACCATCCCGCGATGTGAGTGCTCCATGCCGGATGTGCGATTTACACAGCGCTCGGTTCGCAAAGCACTCTTCTCCCTGGACGTCAGCAAGTCGAGTGGGCCCGATGGAGTCCCTCCCATTGTGCTGAAGACGTGTGCTCCGGAGTTGGCCCCGGTTTTAACGCATCTTTTCCGGTACTCCTACTCCCAAGGCGTAGTCCCGAATTCATGGAATACAGCTTTGGTCCACCCGATCCCTAAAAAAGGCGACCACTCAGACCCGTCCAACTACAGGCCTATCGCCATCACCTCCTTGTTCTCCAAAATAATGGAATCCATTATAAACTGCCAGCTCATGAGGTACCTTGAGGATCACCAGCAGATCAGTTACCGTCAGTACGGTTTTCGTCGGGGTCGATCACCAGGTGATCTTCTAGTTTACTTAACTCATAGATGGGCGGAGGCAGTAGAGTCCAAGGGCCGTTAGTTTGGACATAGCGAAGGCTTTCGATCGGGTCTGGCACAAGGCGCTTCTTTCGAAGCTTCCTTCCTATGGGCTTCCCGAGAAATTGTGCAAATGTATTACCAGCCGTAGTAGACGGTGCATGCTCTGGTTTCAAGCATATCAACGCTGGTGTCCCACAAGGCTGCGTGCTATCACCAACGCTGTTTCTCCTGCATATCAATGATATGTTGCTAACTGGTAGCATTCATTGCTATGCAGACGACAGCACTGGGGATGCCTTATATACCGGCCGTGCCAATATTTCTCGGGAAAACGTCGCCGAGTACCGGGACAAACTTGTGTCTGAAGTCGAGTCTTTGCTTAACAAAGTTTCGGATTGGGGCCGACTAAATCGAGTCCAGTTCAATCCACAGAAGACATAAGTTTGCGCGTTTACCGCTAAAAAGAACCCCTTTGTCGTATCTCCTCAGTTCCAACGCACTCCCCTTGCTGCCTCAGCCAGTATCGGAATCCTTGGCGTCGACATATCGAATAGCGTGCAGTTTCGTGGTCACTTGGAAGGGAAGGCCAAATTGGCCTCTAAAAAGCTTGGCGTGCTCAGCAGAGCGAGACGGTATTTCATGCCGGCACATCGCTTGCAACTTTACAAAGCGCAAGTTCGGCCCCACATGGAATACTGTTCTCATCTCTGGGCCGGGGCACCCCAGTGCCAGCTCCTTCCACTTGACCGCATCAAGCGTAGAGCGATTCGAATCGTCGACGACCGAGTTCTTTCCGATCGGCTCGATACACTGGCACTGCGCAGAGATGTTGGATCTCTCTGCGTATTTTATCGCATCTATCACGGGGAGTGCTCTAAGGAATTGTTCGGACTAATTCCAGCCGCTCAATTTCACCATCGCACGTCGCGACAAAACTCACGTTACCATCCATACCATCTGGATGATTGGCGGTCCATCACTGTGCGATTTAGAAGAAGTTTTCCCCCTCGCACAATTTCTTTGTGGAACCAATTACCACCAGCGAATTATCCGAACCGATACGACTTAGGAACCTTCAAGAAAAGAGCTTACACCTTTCTAAAAGGCTGGCAACGCATCTGCAATTCCCCTGGTGTTGCGGTTGTTCATGGGCTGCTGTAGTCACTTACCATCAGGTGAGCCGCATGCTCGGCTCTAGAGATATCCTCATACATTTCCTCCACCTCCTCATCGGGATGTGCCGAGGTTGGTGCGTAAACCTGTTTGACCTTCAGCAAATACCGTTTGGTGATTCTGAGTATCAGGTACGCAATCCTCGTTGGCACACTCCCAATCTTTACAACGTTGTTAACGAGAGACTTGTGGACGATAAATCCGACAGATGTTTGCCCTCCCGGTGATAGAGCAAGTTGCCGGATTCAAGGATTACCGTGTCCTCCCCCTCTCTTTGGACCTCGGATAATCCTATAATATGCCAGCGTAACTTGACTATCTCTTCTTCCAACTCCACGATCTTCTCGTCAGTCTTCAGGGTGCGTGCGTTGTATGTTGCTAGGTCGAGTCGTCTTAGGTGGCAACCTTTCTTAGCACCCCCTGCCCCGCCGTTACCATGGTCGCCACCATAGCCAGGAATAGTGGGGCCGCCGGGGACTGGGGCCCGTCTCTTCGTTACTTTCATCATGAGGGGTATCCATAGTTGCCACGCTTGGCGTGCGGGTTGGCAACCGCAGTATTTTTATTGTAATTTTGCTGTTATTAGGAAAATGCTGCTGCCCATCTCCTGCCTGTTTCTCTTTGTCGCCTTTTGCGACACCCACGGGAATATATGGGGTAGTGGATATTCTTAACCGACACTACGCGGCAATATTATATTGAATATAATTTGAATATTAAAAATTTTTTACAACCGAATTTAATATAAATTATTAAGAATAACTCAAAAACTATTGGTCAAACCTTGATCAAATTTATATGGAATTATATTAGAATCACCAGCTTTCAAATAAAAGAAGAATTACCGAAATCCGTTCATCGAGAAAAAAGTCATGGGGTAACACACATAAAAAAACCATACGTTTGAATTGAGTAACTCCTCCTTTCTGAAGTCGGTTGAAAAAAAGTCTATTTTCTGCCGAATTCCAAAAAAGGGACGGTATTCTATTCAACTGTATGTTTTTTTTTTATGTGTGTTACCTCATATACCTATCAATTCATGATGTTTTGTTTTGTATAAACGATAGTTAAATATAAGTCATACTTACATAAAAGTGACTTACATCACATAAGTATAGTCTAGTTTTCTGCCGACTTCCAAAAAGGAGTCGGTACTCAATTTGACTGTATGTTGTTTTTGTTTTTTTTTTATGTGTGCTACCTCATAATTTTTTACTGGGTGAAATGATTTTTATGATTCTTTTTTTATATAAAAGCTGATACTTCTCGTGTAGTCCCATATGAATTTGATCAAGGTCACATCATTAGTTATTGAGTTATTCTTAATAACTTATATTGAATTCGGCTGTACAACATTTTTAATTTTAAGTTATATGCTAAACTATCCTTCACGGTGTGGATTACAAAGTGAATTTTTTTTTATAGGATAAGGGTGACAAACGAGCACACAGTCCACCCGATGGTATGTGGTTGCTGCGGCCCATAGACATCTACATCTATCCTCTATTACAAATCAAAATGTAGATGCATTGTCACCCGTGAGGACTAAGATGGAATGCCTCATTTCCAGTAAAAAGGGCCTCCGGCCACCTGCGCTCACCAAGCGAAACGCAGAGGTAAACCTCTACTTCACGCTGGTTTTCTGTGAGGTCGTGGTACCACCCCGGTTCGAGCCGGCCCATCCGTGCGACAGCAAAAGCTGCCGCGTGGCTCTACCACTGTATTAATATGTATGTATGAATATTAGCACATGAGTTTTTGACAAGGATTTTTCATGGTTATAAGAGGTGAAAGAGAGAAATTAAACAGGAAATCAGCCAGAATCTTCCTAATAACAACTCAAAATAAAATAAACTGCGATTGCGAAATCACCTGCCAAAATTGGCAATTATGGTAAAATTTCTCTCTGTAAAGCTATATGTGGGGAGGATAAGTATTATATTAAGCAGAAAAATAAATTTATTCATTTGAGTGACGACCTGTTATGATACAGGAAGTCGATGGATGTGGGTCAGGATCGTGCTTTGTACCATTACTTGGAGGAGGCCTATGTTCAGCAGTGGACTTGGAGTCACGACATGATTAGGAAATATGTCAATTGTGGCTAGTAGTTCAGGAACGTGTTTTTTTTTTGGGTATATATAATCCGATTTTAGTCCCGATTTTTGTCCTCCCGAGTTGAGGAATGTAAAACGTATCAATGTAAGTACCTACTACCAGCATTTGTTTATACAATATCACAATACCAGTTCAGAGTGTCTTTGGATAATACATATTTATGTTTATTTATGATTACAATCATTAGCAATCATTTATTAATATAATTAATAGAATCAGGCGTTACTATGCGGAAATCCATTATATAAAAGCTTTTAGAAAAATTTACTTTGCAAATATCCGCGTTGTAAAATAAAAACACATCATTTTATTTTATAACCCGGATATTTGCGAAGTAAATTTTTCTAAAAGATTTTAAATCATTAATTATACCTAAGATAACCTAATCTATTACAAAATTTGACTTGCAAGACACTTCATGATGTTTTGTTTTGTATAAACGTTATTTAAATATAAGTCATACTTAGTTAAAAGTGACTTACATCACAGAAGTCTAGTTTTTGTAGACAATGTGTCTGGGTCTTTTCTTGCCAGTTTTGACCAAGTATTTCTCATACTTAAATCAATTGGCACTTGAATCCGTAACTTCCCGGCGTTTTTATGTTTTTTTTTTGCATTCAGGCACGATACACCAATGATAAAGATGAGAACTCATTATTAAACATCCAAAAATATAAAATTGTTTTCTTTACTGTCCTACAGTGACTTCACTACAACTACAACTTAACAGCATGGCGGCTAACGTTTTAGCGCGGATATGTAAAATGATATATTAAAAGTAATATTGAAGCACTATTGGTTTTAAAAAGTATTATAATAATTTTGTTTACAATTCTAAATTTGAAACATAAAATAAATTTCTTTATTCATATAACAGTTATAATTGATTTCCAAGCAGATTGTTTATAAGATTTCGGCAGTCAGAGCGGTGTAGCTTCCCACTGTGCGTGTGTGGAAGAGATGTGACAAACACCACTCCACCTCGAAGACGCTTGTAATCACTAAGTGTAGCTGAAACAATAAATAGATACAATATTTTACTATCGGAGAAGGACCACGCTCTCACAGAAAACCAACGTAAAATAGCAGCTTAACGCTGCTCTGTTTCGTATGGTGAGTGTAGAGAACCGGAGACCCTTTTTACTGGCAAAGAGGAATTCTATCTTAGTCCTCACGGGTGACAACGCATCTGCATCTTGAGTCTCTATTCAGGATAGATGTAGATGTCTATGTGTCACAGTAACCATTTACCATCAGGTAGACTGTGTACTCGTTTGTCACTATATCCTTTAAAAAAATATTGTATTACCGTCACCACTACCCGTAGGAAAGACATACTACCGTCGTTAATGCGACATATGTTTCGCCTCTAAATGAGGCATCGTCAGGAAGAATAGACTGCACTGACCGCTAACATCATTTCAGCGGGAGGTGCTCAAACTAGGTACGACTTAGTTCTTACTTTTACGTGGATCTCAGCGAATTAAATTCAACATCTTTATACTTACAATTAACAATGTTATGAATATCTTGTTCAGTTGTGTTGCAATCTAGACGCCTTACAACACCCGCCGCTGGTCCATTCGGTGTCTCACAAACTGAACATTCTTCTACACCTGGTACTGTACCGATCACAGCTTCCAGTTCTTCTGGTGAAATCTATAAGAAAACATTTTTTTTTTATGTACAATGAAGTTGACAAACAATGCAGTAATTAGAGGAATTAGAAGCTAATATGTGTGAACGTTTTTCTTTCCTGGTTGAGCCGACTTATTCCTGCTACAAGTATAATATAGCTGCAGCGTGGACCTTTCACGGTTAATATAAAATATTGCATAAATAGATCCTGCTGCTCGTTATGTAAAGTTTATTTTTGTACCAGTTGGAGTGACAAACTAGCTTAAACAATCGCCAATCTCCGCTAAATACTTAAGAACAAAATAAATACTATTTGATTAACACTTGATTAGTTTCTTCGGTACGACTTTCCATTGACTCCCATCGAGTTGGGGGTTGATACTATTTATTAACTATTTTTACAGAAAAGTTACACTATTATAAGCACACACACAAAGTTTCAATATGCGGAAGCGCGTAATTTTTGAGAAAAAAGTTATTGAAAATCAATTATTCTTGCATTGTTTATGTCTAATCCTACAATAAAACTGAAGCCCCCCCACACTTTGCAGGCGGGCTGGCAACCACAGCTTTTTATTTTTAGTGGTTATTAGAAAAGGGCTGCTGCCCATCTCCTGAATTGTTTCCCTCTGTCGTCTGTTTCTTTATAGGATGTAGGTAACAAACAAACACACAGTTCACGTGATGGTAAATGGATGCTGTGGTCTACGTACATCTAGATCTATCTTCATATTATAATCAAAATGCAAATTCGTTGTCACTCTTGAGTACTAAGATGGAATGCTTCATTTCCAGTAAAAAGGAAACTACTAAACACACCGGGCGATAAGTGGTGGTGGATATTCTTAATCCGTCACTATTCAGTATATAAAATTTTATAATTATACTACACGAAGTACATATTTCATTGCAATACTAAGACGCCTCATTCAAAGCCTTTTGCACGTATGGATCTGATCGACCGGGGTAGAACTACGCTCTCAGAGAATACCAGTGTAAAATAGCAGCTTAACGCTGCTGTGTTTCTTATGATGAGTATAAAGAACCGGAGACCCTTTTTACTAGAAACGAGCCGTTCCATCTTAGTATTCACGGGTGACAACGCATCTGCATTTTGATTATTAATCAAGGATAGATATGGATGTTTATGTTCCACAGCAACCACTTACCAAAGTCAAGTGGACTATATGCAAAAAAAAAACATCAACAGTTCACTGTTGTACATAGGCCTTCCCATAGATTGCCTCATAGGGGGATAATTGCCATAATTTCCACTTTTGTTATCAGGAAGATTCTGTTGCCAATCTCCTGGTTCAGGTTACCTCTGTCACCATTTGTAACACCTTGTGTTACAAACCGGAACAAACCTTTACCATTACCGGAACAAACTTGTGTCTGAAGTCGAGTCTTTGCTGGACAAAGTCTCGGATTGGGGGCGACTAAATCTAGTCCAGTTTAATCCTCAGAAGACATAAGTTTGCGCGTTTACCGCTAAAAAAACCCCTTTGTCGTATCTCCTCAGTTTCAAGGTACTCCCCTTGTTGCCTCAGCCAGTATCGGAATCCTCGGCGTCGACATATTGAGTAGCGTGCAGTTTCGTGGTCACTTGGAAGAGAAGGCCAAATTGGCCTCTAAAAAGCTTGGCGTGCTCAGCAGAGCGGGACAGTATTTCATGCCGGCTCAACGCCTGCAACTTTACAAGGCGCAGGTTCGGCCTCACATGGAATACTGTTCCCATCTCTGGGCTGGGGCTCCCCAGTGCCAGCTTCTTCCACTTGACCGCATCCAGCGCAGAGCGGCTCGAATCGTCGACGACCGAGTCCTTTCCGATCGGCTCGACTCATTGGCACTGCGAAGAGATGTTGCATCTCTTAGCATTTTCTTTCGCATTTACCATGGGGAGTGCTCTGAGGAATTGTTCGGATTAATCCCAGCCGCCAAATTTCACGAACGCACATCGCGGCAGAACTCCCGATACCATCCACACCATCTGGATGATTGGCGGTCCACCACTGTGCGATTTAGAAGATGTTTTCTTCCTCGCACAACTTCCTTGTGGAATAGTTTACCACCAGCGATTTTTCCGGACCGATACGACTTAGGGACCTTCAAGAAAAGAGCCTACTCCTTTTTAAAAGGCCGGCAACGCATCTGCAATTCCCCTGGTGTTGCGGTTGTTCATGGGCGGCGGTAGTCACTTACCATCAGGTGAGCCACATGCTCGTTTGCCCCCTCTCCTATAAAAAAAAAAAAACCTACAGGATTATATAAGATGGTTATTCTTGCACCGCCACTATACAGTACTTTGTGAATTAAGGTATAAATAACAAGATTCTTACGTGATGATTCAAATACTTGAACCAAAATTTCTTTCTTTCCACAAAGAACATGAAGCCGTCTTCATTTTGGTAAAACACATCACCAGTCTTCAACCAGTTATCGTCTGTTATGCATTCCTTGTACGCTTTTTCATTTTTATAATAACCCTAAAACAATACTAAAATTATTAATAGTTATAGACCAAGTCATCAGAGCCCTGTTTATCAGAGCTCAATTCTTGTCACATTCCAGTATCTTATTTTATAATAATAAATAATTAACTTGGTAGGGAATAAGCATGATATAGTTATATTTGCAGATGATACTTCGTTCATCATCAGATTTAAACGGCAATAGTGAAAAGAGTATTTGTCAGAACATAGGTCAGAGTTACGACTTGTGCAGGTGTTGGACGAAAAATCAATAATAATTTAAATTTCATGTTTAAATCAGTTGATTAAACAATGAAAAATCTTAAATAAATAATATGAGATAAAAAATTGAACAACATGTATTAATTATGAGTTGTGATGATCCTGATAATTATATTATTTTATTTTGGTGATCCTGATCAGGATAGTAGAATAAAGTTATTAAATTTTTGTATTGGCATTGGTTCTTGATACGAGATTACTTGCAAATTTTCAAGTAAATCGACCGTCTAAAAGTTGTTGAAAATTACAATAAAAGATTCCGTTGCATAGATAGATAGATATTATATAAATAGATAGATACACGCGAAGCTAATAATGTTCAATGTTAATGTTACATTATATGTTTACATTTTATATGTTATGTTAATGAGAATTAACTTACTATTAAAGAGTAATAACTAACACACTTTTTATAATTGTCTAACTATAGCGATTGCTTTGCATAAAATGTTAACGCCAGCTAAAATGTACGATTGGAACGTACACTACTTTCATACTCTCCGGAATTTCTATCTCTGTTTCTTTGTTGGATTCCAGAATCCAATAACAAAACAGAGTCCTGTGGTCGCCATACTATCAAGCTACCGCTACGAAAGTGCCACACCAGAAACTTTCTTACCCAATCAGTTGTCGGTTCTTCGAGCTTTATTATAGCCAATCAATTACCACTTCAGCCTACTGACCCATTGGATTACCCTGATTCTATTGATATTTACTACGATTACTATCCCGCAAAGAATAACTGAGTGTAATCTTGTCTATAGCTCACTGACAAATCTTAAGCTTCCTCATACGGACTGCAATGCAGGACCACGTTTATGATTCATGTCGTCAATAGTAACACGCGATGGTTGTATACTCCTATATTTTCAGGTTTTGAGGAATTCGTAATACGTAAAAGGAAATTGTGCCGTAATCTCCTGAACACTGGCCACCAAAGTTTGGTCCGTCGACAGGGACTAATGACACAAATTATACATGAAAATAGAGTGAAACAAGTGTGTGTATCTACTCTTTAAGATACAGCGTAGTAGCTAGATACTCTAACCGTTGTTCCACGCACTAGTTAGACATAAATATATATATCAAGCATTAATATATAAATGTATATTACACCTGTAAAATGCACAGCTCGCTTCGTAACATCAATTCTCCATTTTCATTTATTCCAATTTCTTTACCAGTCTCATCTAGCAACTGCAACAATTTAATTAATATTAATGACATAAATCGAAAGTCCACTGCTGCATAGGCTTTCCCATAGGGACTCATAAGGGGGATATTTGCCAAATTTGTCTCGCATGGCAGCTTGGTAACCGTACTGTTTTATTTTCTAGTTGATATTAGAAAAATGACAACTTTGGACGATATGGGCTAGGGAATATTCTTACATCACTACTACACGGTCGATGATCTATTATCAATAAATAATTTGAAATAAGTTATTATGTATAGCTATTGTCTTAGATTTTTTCTATAGTTTTCACCCTTAGCAAGCGGTTAGGCAATCGCTGTTCTTATTTATTACTTTGAGTTATTGTCAGGAATATGTTGCTCAGAAATATTCTCCTTATCAAGCAATCAATAGGGAAGAACTATGTTCAGCAGTGGACTCTTGGTAGGATATGATAATGGTAACGATGATGATATTCTCGGAGTTTCTCTGCGTCATAAATCCGCCTTATATCAGAATTACCGATAAAGCCCAACGGATCAGTCTTAATTTATTCTAATTGCAATTATAATAGACGAAATGCAATCTTGCAATGTTTCTAAGTCCAGCAAATGGAATCTAAAATTTGAGTTTTAATGAAAATTAAAAGCAGACTTCGAAAAATTAAAAAAAAAAATAACTTTGAAGCAAAAAAAAATAACAATTCTTGTATATTGGCTCCTACGATTTTCATGAAATTTAGTTAGCGGCGGTTTCAGGGGCGATAAATTGAACTAGCTAGGATTCAGTTTTAGAAAATGTCGTTTAAACCGTGTTTTCAGGTAATGAAAACTGCTACAATATCACTAGAATACGAATAGTAAATTTCTTCCAAAAAGGAAATTTACAATAGTTCGGCTGGGAAATCGGACGGTCCCGGAACCAGATAACCCCAGTTCCAGTCCAGATATCTCCAGTTCGATTATTTTTTCCCTTTCTGCAAGTGACGGACTAGTTACAAAACATCGGGACCTGTCCATTCAGCCTTAAAGCCACCAGATGTGAAAACTATTTCAAACTGTGAAAAATTACCTTATCTAGCATTCGGGCGGTTATTTAAGGTCAGCCCGTGCAAGATATATTTAAATATAATAATACTTCTTTCCAAATATATAATATACTCCTGCTTATATTTAATATGTCAACACTTACTTATACAATATGCTATTGCTTCAGCGGTCACGTTCTTCCTCTGGATTAAGCTGAATATCTTAAATGTTTTTGTTTAATTCTTACAAATAATGATGGAGATGCTTAAGTTTGAAACTTTAAATTATTATTATAATTATATTTTAATATGTTTTGTCAAAAACGAGTATATTATGTACGTGTTGAATTTCTTCACGCATTTTGAGGTAAGATTAAAAAGACCTTAATCTCAAATCTATTTTCCAGAGGAAATTATACGCCGCGATTTTTATTCATACAAGAATGGATAAGTTTTAAAATCAAAGGAAAAAGACAAATGCTTTATTCCCTAGGAAACAGTCTGAATAGGTACCACCCACTTTTCTATTTCTGTCGTAAAGCAACAGTATTTGTACAACGGTGTTCCAGTCAGAATAATATATGAAACCAGTTTAAATCCAGGTTGTGAGATATTCCATCTTAGTTCTCTGAAATGACAACGTATCTTTAGCGTTATTTGCTAAGAATGGTGTTCAAAAGCTGCAGTAGCCATCTTAACATCAAGTAGACTATAAATTTGTTTGTCACCTACTTATTTAAACAAAATAATTTATAAAACAAATGTAACCTCAAGATGGCTTAAAAGCCTCGCGATCTAATTTTGTTAAGGTGTTCTCATTCGCAACATGAAGGGCTGACACTGTTTGTAATTGGAACGCGAACAGAATGACTTTGATCCGGATTTAATACTTTACGGCGGTTTACTTACTGAGGAACGTCTTTAATGAAATACGTGTTCCTTTTAGAAAATAGAAGAAACAATCAACTCGAATCTTTATTGATAAAGTTTATTGTCTAAAGCTGAGACACATTTAGGATAATATGCAATGGTGAATTCCAAACTTTTAAGGTTATTTTTATGAGTGCATCACGGAACATGCTTTGGTTACCGATGGGTGTGTTATTGATTTCTTATATTTACATGAATATGACACTTTGAATAAAACTAAATTTACAGAGATTATCTAGTTTAATTTATCTTTATACATGGTGGAGCCACGCTCCATACGTAGCACGAATGGGTTGGCTTGAACGGGTAAGGCTCCCACAGAAAACAGATTAATGTTGCTGTGTTTCGTATGGCGGGTTTAAAGAACCTATTCAAAGGGTCTATCATTACTTTTCATTCTATGTCATTATGCTTTTGTATTAACTTTTAAAAAATTAAAAAAGACAATGGCCGCGTAGTTTCTTTAGCAGTTTCTTCTCGGGAATATTAACTTTCATAAATTACAAAAGAAAATATGCCTGCGGACTTTCCTTCGTCGTTTCTTCTCCTGTGAGAAGAAGCTCATTTTGAAACCGTAGTAGATATTTAGATTTGAAAAAAAATACATTCTATTAACTTATTATAAGCCAGTGCTTGACCACAATTCCACCTGGTGGTAAGTAGTGACGCAGCCTTAGATATTAAATTGCACTGTCTTAGCGTAATAAAAGCTCCTGCCTTGAAGACGCCCAGATTGTATTCGGACGGAAAGATAGACGCCGGCAAATCATTCCACTAATTTGCTGTACACATTACAAAAGACGAAGCAAACCTTTTGGTTCTAATGCGTTGAATATCGACAACAAAAGTTTGAAGACCCGCCAACCACCTGGTTGTCCGATAGTAGAAAGGAGAGGGAGGAATTAAAGCGTGTAATTCCTGCGCTCACTCACCGAAATGCATCCTATATCTGATTATTTATTTCCTTACTTTGAAGAATTTAAATTTATCGAATGTCATTTAATTTTATTTTAAAATATTTTATCTTATTGCTAACCGCATCAATTTTATTCCTTTTATTGTAGTTTCTTCTCTTTTCAAATAGGAAATGTGGACAAACGCACTTGATGGATAGTAACTGTAAACAGCCACCGGTTCACTGTCGGTAATTTTTGAGGTACTAAGATATTTTCTTTACTTTTAATTTACCTTGAAATCAAAAATATTTCCAACTGTTCCCGTACATTCAAATGTAGTTATTTGATCAGGGATGGTAATGAATCCGTGTGTTTCTGTCATTCCATATCCATTGCATAGGCGTACACGTGCTGATAGCTTTTCCTAAAATTAAAAAAAATATATGTGTTTCTCATCTCTTCTCATTTAAAAATAAAATTAAACTAATCAGCATGCTAACACCACCCTCCCCCTTTACAAGGTGACAGACGAGAGAGTTTATGTTTACACATACATCAACGAAATCAGTACAAGACAATGAGACCCGAAATAATGATTTTTAGCACAGACGTTGGATTGAACTTCGGCTGAGATTTGAGTTCAGGCACAGCTACATAATAACATCATCTCTTATCACATCACCAGGCTATTAGTTATAATTACAGTGTTATTATTACAATTTCTCAGCTAATAGATTTAATTTCAATAGCCTCACGTATCATCCTGGGCAGGAATCGATGTTCTTTCGCGAGGACTTGTGGTCTATCAAATCTAATGTAATGGCGGGGGCCGTCTAGGATATGATCACAAACTGCAGACTTCCAGAAGGATGATACGTGAGGCTATTGAAATTAAAAAACATCCTAATTTCAATAGAGAGGGAGGCTGGGTACTACCACCTGCTTGGGATCCTGTAATTCATAAAATTAAAACTAAACCCAAGCATACCACTGCAAGACTTCAAGACACAGTTAGTTCATTCTGCGTAGATCGGACCAAAATTAATAATTAAAAAGCTGAAGGTACTCCGGGTTAACTTGACATCGGGACGTCAATCACCTCAGTCTCCCGTGACCACGGTTGCTGGAAAGCAACCGACACGTCGGGAACATAAAATAAGTTAATTAAATGCGATAAAATCCGTAAAAATAGTTTTATTCAATTGTATATACCTTTAGAGCTTTCATTGTATTAGGGCCTGGCTGTGAACCTGTAGTTAAAACTGTCTGAAGCGAGGCTAAATCTTCTGAAGAAGCTGCTGTAGATAAAGAAATGGCAAACGCTGGTCCAAGGAGAGCCCATGTTGGCTGTAAGTTAGGCAGATTTAGTTAACGATAAAAATAACTTTGTTAATATTACATTAAGTATGCACTAACGCTAATATTGACAGTGGAATAAAACCACATGAAATTGAACTGAAACTGTATGTCCATTTACTAACGACTCCTGTAATTAGCCAAGCAGATAAAAAGCATTTTTTATAAATAGCGGAAACATTCAAATTTAAAAAAAAACATAGGTAGTTTTAGTAAAAAAAGGTGATATACATTCTGTAAACACTAGGAACAAACACAAGCTAGTGATACTAGTTTCTCCGATTCCACATAGTCAGTAATTTATTCTTATCTCCATCATCATCTCTTATCTAGTTTGTACAACCATTAATGACAATTTGCTTTTTTTTAAAAGTCCCGCTGGGTTTCTTGCTGGTTCTTCCCAGGACAGAGGTGTTTTTCGAACCAGTGGTAAAGTAAAAAATGACTTTCAATAAGAATTACACATGTGATCTATATTGAATAAAAAATTATACTATTAGATTTTATTCTATTTTATTCAACCAAAACTAGCTATATGATTTTCTTGTTAATTATTAAAATTATTAAATATTTTCTATGTCTTAGTACTCCTTTAAGTATCGATTTACCTTATTTTTGTTCCTTATTTTGTAAACACTATTGCTGATCATGAGGTCCCGGTTCAAATCCTGGGTCTAGCCAAAATCTGTACCTGGTCTTTTATGTCAAGATATTCTCGGTATTCCCCAATTCAGGAAATTAGCGGTGTTTCATCCCCGTGCCTCAGAAAAGCACGTAAAGCCGTTCGTACTGCGCCTGATCTCTCTTCGGTCGTGTCGGATTACTATACCATCGGACTTTGAGAGTAAGGAATTAAATTCCACGCGGACGAAGTCGCGAGGGACAGCTAGTTCTGTATATAATTATACAGAGTACGCGTAGTTAGGAAACTTCAATAGTGTTATTAAAGCTTTAGTTGTCTTTCGGTTTGTTTACGTTATTGTGGTGCAATGACAGCGTTACAAAGGGAAAGAAATTTAAATTTAAGTCTAAATAATAAAAATGCTGTAGCCAACAAAAAATATACTGCATACTACTAAAATAAGTATAAGTATACAAAATCAAATGTCAAAGCTAGTTTTGATGCAAACATCAGTTACTGCGACGCTTAAGACTTAGTAAGTCTTTTAAAACGAGTTTAAATGTTTACCTTGTTTCGTCGAATCATTTTAAGTAAACAGTCAATAGTGGGCGTCGGAGTCATTAGCAATGTGATTTGATAAACCGGACAAGTTGTCATTAAACTAGTATGCGTCATCCATTGCGCTGTTGAAATTAGCATCGCTATATTAGTTGGTCGAGGAAACTGGTTGTGATGGGCCCTGGAATTTAATACTGTATTTATTAACTTTTGCGTTTTTGAAAAAAAGTTAGTAATAGTACAGTAGCTTTATAAATATTGTTATTTTGAAATAACTGGTCAAATTAAGGTAATGCGTTGTTTTATTTGATTGTCATTCAGAAATATCTAACGCCTACTATTTTTTATAGGATAGGGTGACAAACGAGCACACAGTCCACCTGATGGTAAGTGCTTGCCGTGGCCCATAGACATCTACATCTATCCTCGTTTGTGAATCAATGTGCAGATGCGTTGCCACCTGTGAGGATTAAGATGGAATGCCTCTTTTCCAGTAAAAAGGGTCTCCGGTTCTCTACACTCACCATACGAAACACAGCAGTGTTAAGCTGCTATTTTACGCTGGTATTTACGCACGGATACATTCGTAAGGGTCGATCGGTAGGCAAATAAGCGAATAACGCTTACTCAGGTGGCGAGAACCTAGCGTCTAGCATTGAGAGCGTTTAAAACCGAACTGGCCGGTTAATATGCAGGATAATAGGCAGTATTTGCACTGCACCGAGTATTGTCGACCTCAGCCGAGTAGTAATTTGTAAATCTTTTCTAAGCCCAATTTAGAACGCTTATCTTTAAAAGTTACTTATGAGACAATATCTGTAGCATAATAGATTCCTTGCACATCAAATAACAGCTGTAATACAGCTGTTATATAGCCTCTTTTATGCTTGTACAGTCATTTTACAGCGCTACTAACACACAAAGCTGCATAATTTATGGCAATTTTTTACTTATAATTACTGCTACAATTTTTTTACTTATAAGTAAATAAGTGCTTATACAGTTTTATACAGCCAGAAAATACAGTCTCTAGTATAAAAACGGGCTTCAATACAACTTGTACACAGCTTGGATGCTGCTTGGGATGGGCCACAACATCCAATTAACATCAGGTCGACTGCTTGTTCGTTTGTCACCGTTATTGTACAAATAAAATTCTTATTATGTGGGGTATTCATATATAGTTTTCTCATCTAGTTGGGCTGCATAAATAAAAGAAAATGATCAATACACTTCAATATGCATTCAATATGTATAAAGTCTAATAAAAACATAAATATTACATAAATATGTAAAAACCCAACCGAATGGAAGCCCTAGCCAGGGGAGACCAAGCTGCCAAGGGTTAGGGGCAAAGAGAAGAAAACCTGCGCACCATATGGGCTTTGTCGAGAAAATTATTATTATTACAAAGATAAGGTTTACTTACCAAAGAGTTGGAAGCTGTGCAACTAAACCTTCATTACTTAACATTGCAGCTTTGGGTAATCCTGTTGAACCACTTGTAGGCAACATTATAACCGGCGAGTTGACATTAACATCCATAATTCTGTATTCATTTAAAAATGCTCATTTCTTTTTTTATTTTTAATTAGAAATAATAACTTATTTAAGCTAGTATTGTCTGATCCATGTGAAATTCTATTACAAAATTTTTAATAAATAATACTTAAAAGTACATTTTTAATAAAATAAATGTTATGCCTTTATTTAGAGGCTTATTAATTAATAAACAGAATAAGGTTTACAAGTTAATGAATAATCTCGAAATAATATCAAAATAAGCATGAGTTATAACTTTTTACATACTGAAATTACTTGTTCAGTCATCATTTAAATCAATGACTAAAATATAATTAACATTAAAAACTTACCTAAAAGTATCCAGATTATCGCTGAATCCAGCAATAATCTGTTGAAAATAAGTACCATCGTCCACTACAACAATACTAGGTTTATCATTGTTGGAATCATTCACAGTTTTAGAAACGTTTGCCACTTGATTTTGCTCGCAAAAAACTAAGCTGGGACGAATCAAAGCCATGAAGTGATTAAGTTCATCTGTATATTATATAGAATTAAAAAAAAAATATATAAAAATTGAATAACAGATTTACAATTTAAAGTTCATTGTTATTATTTATTAAAAGGAGACTTTACAAAAATAATTATACTTATATAAATGATTACATCCTAACCTCTGGAACTAAAGTGTTCGCTTCCAAGCTATTTCTTTTATGTGATTGGTAAATAATAATTGTGCAACCAATTTTATAATGTATATTTTTACGGTTGAAAAAAGTCACGCTGGGTTTCTTGTTGGTTCTTTAAAGGTTTTTTTCCGAACCAGTTGACAAAATAAAAAAAATACTGAATAGAAATAATTATAATTAAATTGAATAAAAATAAATCTATTTCATAATTTATTAATATTATCGTTGTTATCGTCAGAAAAATCTTACAGCTTTCTATACAAAAACCATCCGGAACCGCTGAACTTTAATTTCGCAGGATATTATCACTTAAAAATACTTCTTATTTGAATGAAAATAGTATCGCGCACTTTTATATATTAAAAAGAAAGACCAGTATGATAATATTACTTCCCTTACTTCTACTACCATCTCAGTTCATAAACACATGTGGACATGTACATTACACATTATATGTATTTAAATAATGTGTGGTAGAGCTGTGCTGCATCTATATTATGGTTATAGCATAAATAGATCAGCTCGAAGGGGGAATAAGCAAGTTCTCACAGAATACCAGAGTGAAATAGAACTTAATGCTGCTGCACATCGTATGATGAGTGTTTAAATGACTCGTTGGTGTAGCGATCGTAAGCGTGACTGATGATCATGAAGTCCCGAGTTTGAATCCTATGCCGGGTTAAAATAGGTTCTTGGGCTTTTCTATCAAGAAATTCACAGTAACAACCCGGAATCGAAGACGTCGTGGTGTTTTACCCTCGTGCCTCGGAAAGCACTTTTACCGCTGACTCTGCGACTAATATCTTTGAGGTCGTGTCGGATTGCAATCCTATCGGACTATGACAGTGAGGGTATAGAGACCTGTGTTTGCTTGCACTTGTGTTGTAAAATCCTGTTTTAATGATGGCTCTGTTAGGTTAGGCTCTGTCTCCACTGGGATAGGCCACCATAATCGAAATACGGAGAGAGCAAATCGGTTTGGAGAGAAATATGGTAAGTGTAAAGAATCGGAGATCATTTTTAAAGGTAACGTGGAATTCCATCGTAAGTTTATACAACTCTTTATTTGAGGCTTCTACATAAGTAAAGGTATATGTGTTGTTTAATTTTGATTTCAGTTAGTTTTTTCTCTGTATTATTTTAGGTTATGATACGATGTGACTTTCATCGTCATCCCGTGTGTTAAATTCTCTGACTAAAATGAAAATGAAAATAGATATTCCTTCTGAGATTCGATCTAATGTTAAATGTAGCTATGTGTGAAACACAGTATCCATTTACCTTCAGGTTGACTGTGGTTTTGTATGTCACTCTTATTGCTATAAACAGACAGAAATATATATATATATATATCGGAAAATGACAACAGGAGATCCCACTTCTGATGTCGGAGATTACAACAGAGGATCCCAATTTTTATCTCGGAAATACATCAGGATAGCGTTAATTGTTGAAAATAATAAAAGTGTGAGAGCGGATGTTCAACTTGCTCTTGTGCTTACGTAATTAATCATTATCGGTAATAAGACTACGTAACGCATTATGCATTCAGTATAGTTAAATTACAGTTCGACCACACCGCAACACGTCTCCGTACCAAAATATGTAAACCAACAGCAAAGCTACTTATCTCAATTTAACACAGGGCAGCCTCCCAGCAACACCAATCCTCCTTGCCTGGACTAGAATAATTACAACAACGAACAGAACCACGACACTATATTAGCACTAGTAGAATGACCACACTCGTTGACTGACTTAAGCGAAATCACACGCGCACGGCAACTACAGTGAACTTTATACTGCACAAACAAGCGGGGGTTTCTCGATATACCCTCCCTTATGTCCACCTCGATCCAAGTGATATTTTATATACGCTCCGACATATATATATATCGAAATATATAGAAATAAAAGTATATAATACTTACACATTGTGCAGTTAGGATCAATCATAAAAGGGATAGCTCTAGCAAAAATAACTCCATAGTACACAGCCGCCATGAACTCATGGTTTCTTAGTATCAATATCACAGTTTTTCCATTAATTTCTCTATCGATTAAGGCTCTCGCAAGTGGAACCGACATCTTAAGTATTTTTTCGTTAGTAAAGTATTCATTTGACAAACCATTAATCTGCAATGTGTAATTTAACGCTAATTTTAATACAATCAATTTATTTTGCTTCAAATAGTTAGTTCTCTTAGATTAATGTTATCAGTTACCGTGTAGAGGCGGTGTAAGAATATCGACTACTCGATATTATCCCGTGGGTGACGTAAGAGGCGACAGAGGGAAACAAATCAGGAGATGGGCAGCAGCGTCTTCCCAATAATGACTATAAGTAATAAAATAAATAATTAAAATAATCAAAAACCCGACTGTTAAAAAGATAATTTAAAAGTAATGCACTAAAGAAACCAAAACAAGATTGTTAATAAAAACAAAATTAAAATAAACTATAAACAAAGTTAATACTGCGTGGGTTTAACTGACTATGAGCTGAAAACTAAGTAAAATAACCGCATTAAGTTTTGTAGCAAGCGGAACCCATTAATTTTCTTTCGGTTTATAATTTACCATTGGGTTAAATCACTTCCACCAGCTTTATATTGAACTTAAATATTAAAAAGTACAACAATAGCTAGAGGAGATTTGAATAAATTAATACATCTTACGTAGTTATAAGATTATATATTTCGATTATTATTGAAAAAACGTTAATTGAAAATAATTTCACTTGGACGTCAGTTGGTCAGTATGGATGTGAACAAGATATTTTTTGAAAATCTGAACTTATCGCTTTGATTTTTTTTTATTATGTTTAGATATTTATCCTTAGGAAGCCTTTTAAATTTCACTCATAAAATAGCAGCTTAACGCTGCTGTGTTTCATATGGTGAGTGTAGAGAACCGTAGGCCCTTTTTACTGGAAACGAGGCATTCCATCTTAGTTCTCACGGGTGACAACGCATCTGCATTTTGATTCGTAATCGAAGATAGATGTAGATGTCTATGAGCCACAGCAACCACTTACCATCAGGTGGACTGTGTGCTCGTTTGCCACCTTTATACTATAAAAAAAAAAAACTATTATAAACCGTCCCGTTCGTTGATTTTTTTAATTAATTACTTGACGATTTTTTTCGCAAACTACAAGTCACCGGCATGAAGCAATCAAAATGTCGTGCTAATTAAATTGAAACAATTTTTGTAGCTGCAAACGAAATACGTGTTTCAGTAATAAATAAAGTAAATTGATCATTTTAAAAAATTACATGAGCTTTTGAAGTGTATACTTTTAGATTTTCCAAATTTATTATTAAAATTATGTTGGTAAATACTTCGTTTTATTTAACTTTTGCCTATTACTGTCTTTTCATATTTTATCTATGTGCATAAAAATTATGTATAATTTTTTTTCTCTAAATCCATGAAATAATGAATAATTTATTTGCTTTGAATTAGTCATAATAAAGATGGACATATTATTTAGTAAATTCTATCCTGTAATATTCTTGTATAATAATAAATGCTAACTTTTTTGTAATTTAAAATATAAGTTATTACTAGGTATTCATAATAATAAAAATATTATTACTATATACTTCATAATTTTTTATAAATGCTATTATTATAAGATTAACAGTATATTTTTTTATTTACATCTTATCCATAAACTGATAATAAAAAAATAAAAAAAATTGTTGTGCTCTTTCTACGCAGATACCGGTAAGACATGTTACTCGTAATGATCCTATAACTTAACATTTATGTTGGTGAACTTCACATGTCTACGAAATATTTTTTTCTTATTTCTTGACATGTAAATTTCTTCACAATGTTTTTCTTCACCGTTGAACACGTGGTAAATCAGCATTTAAAATTGCAATTAACTATTATATTGTTCATCATTTTCGAAAATGGACATACATACGATTATAACATTTAACAAACATTTTGAAAAATTGTTAATCATCTAAATATTAACTATCTAAAAATATAAATTAATATAACATATTGACAATAAAATTCCAAAGTATAAAAATTGCACACATTATTACCGGCAATTAATGTTAGCAATTTAGCATTGAACATTGATTTTCAATACCAACCTCTTGACACTTTTTTTACTATAAGAAAGAAAGATAAAGGCCTTTATTTAAAACTAGCTGAGCCGCGTGACATGACACCTCGCTAAAGATAAAGTTACAGCCAGTGTAAGGTACAAACGTTTCTGGCCTTAACTATACAATGAAGGATAAATCTCAAACCACTATGATTATTTTTAGATATAATCTCCCTTTATTTCAATACACTTTTAATAGCGCTTTATTAGCTTTTCTATAACCATAAAGAATAGTCTGAATTTTTGCGTTAAAAATGTGACAAAGTTGTCAGCATTTTTGTTACCTCATCATCATCAGTTTTCATTTTTATCTCCGTAAGTCGGATTTCAATTTTAAAATATATAATATAATTGAAACCGCATTACTTAATGGCAGACTTGGAAAAACTTGATGTGTGCAAGGAGCATTCATGAAGCAACAACCCTCCTCGAGATAATTTATCTCGATGCTTAATGTAATGCAGCAAGGAAGCACAGTAATGGCCTGTTACTGTTGTGTTGCGTTCTTTAAAATCCACCAGTAAAATTCCCTCGGAATTTGCAAAGCCGAGTGTTGAATTATTTAATTGTTTTACTGTCTAATGAACTACGCTTCCAAATAACATGCACAGTTTATCTCCATAAAATTGTCTTGATGATATATTAACTTTCATTCGTAAGGATTAATATTTTTTTATTTATTTATTTTATTTATTAAGATATACAAACAAATGTACAAAGGTATTTATAAAAGTATTATCAAAAAAGAGTATAATATATGTACATTCAACACCGTATACCACATATTAGTATAAACAATAAGTAATAAGTAACGAGTTGAAGAGAAAAAATTACTATCACAAAAAATATATATAAGTATTAAACAGTATAAGAGACGTTTGCACAAATAAAATTTTAAATTTGTAATACCTGTAATTTATTCTTAATATATTTTTTAAAGCACATATTTGAGGCAGTAAAAATATCAATATCGCTAAAGTAATCATTATATGATTGCACTTATATACTTACTACACATACTTATAATACTTATAATATGCCATGCCTCATAATGATCATGAATGTATTTTTAATTTTCAATAATTTTTTGTCACAAAATAACGCATTGTAGCTTACCAATAAGAGATAGGTATATAGTGCCGTAGATTTTTTTAAAGATCAATTAAATGTATATTATATATAATTATATATACTTTGGTAGAACATTGTATTCACGTATCACAACCATTACGCCAGCGCACCCAAATAAATAAATTCACGGGCGCTTTTTCTTCTGATTTGCTTAACAAAAATCAATATATAAGGCTAACTTTGAAGTGTAGCCTTATGATAGATAGCCTATACTATTTTCATGAATTTGGCTATAATAAAAAAAACCCTTCCGTTTTTCTTATATTTATACGTATAGATTACAATAGAAATAACTATTTGTATATCTATAATTGTGAGCCGTGGGAGCTCAGATGGTTAGCGCTCGCTGTAAGCTTCACAGTACTCGAGCAACCCGGGTTCGATCCCCGCAGGCACCAATGAAATTGTTAATTTCAATTTTAAGTGCTGATTTACCACGTGCTCAGCGGTGAAGGAAAATATCGTGAGGAAACCTTTTAGTCTGAGAAATAAGAAAAAAAATATTTCGAAGACTTGTGAAGTTTGCCAACACGCATTGGGGCAGCACGGCGGACATTTCCTTGCCAGTGGGACGTAAATAGGCTGCAACTTTTATACCTATAATTAGTAAGTTTATTCTGAGAGATAACTAACAACACAAACAAAATACACAAAACATATACGTAATATACAAAAGAAAAACACTGCTATAGATAACTTGTTACTCTTGACTCCAACCTTCATTTTAACAAATAACAAAAACAAATTATCAGATTGTTCGTTTTTGGTTCCGCTTATTTATCTTTATTATTTAAGAAATATATGTGTCAAGGTAATTTTTACGAAACTTATAAAGACATTATAGTTATTATTATGTACATCATTACTTTCATACTTTACTTTTATAATTCTGCTCAGAGTCTCATACTAAGTATTTTTTGTTACGGGTGTACCAAAAAGAATTGCAGTCGATATACGCCCTATAGCTTGGCACAGGCTTCCTCTAATTATTGATTATTAATTTAGTGCGTGTTGGCGGAATTTGAGAATCTTTATTTCTCAGACATGCAGGTTTTTCGGTCTTTATTCACCATCGAGCACATGGTAAATCAACTGCAATTAACAATGTCATTGGCGCCACTTGAAATCGAACTGGCTAGCGCGTGTCCAATAAAATTTACGGGGAGCGCCTAGTCCCTGATTTACCACGGCCTCTTATATACCAGTACCTACCAATATTATATTGTACTAGCTGGTACCCGGTGCGCTGTTGCCACAGTAAATATAATTGTCGCAATTAATATCGTTTTAAATTTGAAAGAGTTATATTATTTAATTAGGACTAATAATACATTTACATTCATTGAAGTTTAATGATGTATAATTTTTAAATAAATTTAGTCGGTACGATACGCGCGCCACCCTTTGTAAGTTAATTGTATTATGCTTATAACATTCATAAAAGTGCAAGCAGCGCATAACATACGAATAAACAAAAGTAAATTTTTATATACCTATTAGATGAATGTATAATAATATGTATGTATTTACTTACAATAATATATCATATTAAATTTTGTCACATAAAATGTGTATTTAATTTAGATTCTAATCTTTTTCATTGATACATCTACGTCAAATTATTACCACTACATGGGTAGACTAGTAAGGAATGTCTTTAAGCATTAAGTCCCCCCTTTGTACCCTTTTTTTCTAAGGGAATTCAATGAAGATCCTAAAGCAATAAATATATCACATTATAATAAAGGATAACTACTTACCATGAAAACATTAGAACGATTTCGATTCATACAATAAAATATCACTTCGGTCACACTAATTTTAGTTGGATTCATTTCTTTCTTTACCTCCAGTATTGATTCCAAAACTCCATCGAGATATAATTGTGCTGGCGTGGATCTACCTCTAAGGATAGCGTGAGACATTATTGGAGAGGTAAATGTAATTATATTTATTAAAAAATAACAATTACACAACTTGAACCAAAACAACAATTACTTGACATAATCTTCCGTTGATAAAATTATTATACTACTCACGATAAGCATGTCAGTTTGACATCGATAAATGAAAGAATTGATTATTTGGCGAAAATCGATGTTATAGGTTTTCGTGAATCGATTCAATATTCTGGATTGGTATTTTTATCAAACCTCTATTTAATACAATTTATTTCCTCTTGTACAAATATCGGTCACGGCGGTAGTATACAAGTCAGTATTGATGCTACTTCAATTTTGAATAGGCATTGACACCAGATACCCCGTCAGTGCTGAAAAAACTAGCCATCAAATCTTCCCTACGCATTTCGATTGCTTAAGTTTAGAAGGCGTTGCGTTGTTTCATTTTGAAAAAGAAAAACCGTCGGCTCGCGCTTTGTTTCTGAATCATAGTGATAAATCCAAGATTTAAATCGAATACAAAAAATATCGAAGCTCGGTAAAATAAACAATTGAAAGATTAATTTTCGAATAATCGATGTCGAGTGAATAGACATCCCTACTTATTATTTGTGATAATAATTATTTTATTTATTGTTTGTTCTCATCGCGATAACACGACGGGCGTGGATTTAAAGTCAAAGGTCATTAATCGTAATTATAAGATAAGTAAACGGAGTAAATAAGTGCATTATGACATAGTTATTTTATAATAATTTTAATTAATTGATATCAGCGTTAATAATTACATTTTAAAATAAAATAGTAAAGAGTGAATTGAAAACTAAAAATAATAAAATACAGAAGAAATTTCTGTAATGTGAGTGTTTTGTATTTATGTTATATAATATAATATTTTTATAATTACTATCATGTCGGTTTTAATTTTTATTGGAAGTTTAATTTTTAGACACTTTTGATTGAGGAATTCTACAAGCTCAAGGAGAAAACTAAAATGTCGTCCAACGTTCAACTCGATGAATGAATATAATCCTTTTTTTTGTCAATATTCTTGTCTTGATGTTACTACTGATTTTTTTGTATGTAATCTTAATCAACGTCGATTTTGTTTTTAAAGTTGAACCTATAATTTTAACATCAACTGTCTTACGTGATTACGAATGTGCAACTCGAGTGATACGAGATGAGAACTACGATAATATGTAATCGTGGTTCGATTCTTTTTACGTTTAACGTTTGGTTTCTTTGAGTTGTGTTAATGTATAGTTCATAAACCGATGCCTTTTTAATGTTAATATTTTTTACAACATATTATCATGTCGATGATTGATTTCAGCGCTTGATTTAAGAACTTGATTTAAGCGCGATAAAATATGCCTAAAATAATTTCATACAATATTTACCAGTGTTGGTAACATTAGAAAATGTAAAATTTTATTTTTATGATAATTTAATTTTCTATTTGTGCTCCTCGTAGCATGGTTAATATAAATATTATGTACCTTAGCCATTCTTGCTAGAACTATAACAAAGATACTGCATAGTTTCACTGTTTCTTCAGTTTAGTGGTCATAAGCGCGGGTCAAAATCACTTATTCGGTTTTTCTGACAAGAACTTCTCAGTAGCAGCCCAGATTTAGATAGTTGGCGGTGTTACAACATCGTGACTCAGAAAGTACTTAAGCTGTTGGTCTTTTACCTGATCTCTCTCCGGTTGTATTGGATGGGATTACCGCCGCATCAGAATATTATGATGGTAACGCAATTGAGAGTGCACTTGTACTTGCGCATACACTCGTGCACTACAATCCTGGCCTGGTCTGTCTGGCCGCCGCGCCGTGACAGAAATTCGGTCTGAAGATTCATTGTTATTATTATGTATCTATGGTTTTTTGTCTTTGATTTGTGTTGTTTTTTTATTTCTTTCTCTCTTTTATTCGCCCTGTATTTCTTTTAGATTATTAATTATTAGTAAGTTTGAGCCAGTTAACACCAATTAACTTTTTAAATTTTTTTATCGTTTTGTTGTCGCACACTGAGTTTGATTACTTACACAGTATTTGACGTTTGTATTTAGAATTGGATTATTTATCTACCGACTTCAAAAAGGAGGAGGTATTCAATCCGACTGTATTTTTTATGTGTGTTACCTTATAACTTTTTCGTAGATGATGCTTTTTTTATCTGAAAACTGATGCTTCTCATGTAGTCCCATATAAATTGTTTAAGGTCTGATCAGTAGTATTTGAGTTATCCTTAATAATTTATATTGAAGTTGGTTGTACAAAATTTTAATATTACCACTTGTTTTACTTACAATGCCAAAAATGTTAGTATCGCGATAAAGCTGAAGCTCTATGTATTATGATTGCACTCCACCGGAGAAGGAATAATATTGGATACCAGTGTAATGTTCATACATTTATATAACACTAGCGGGCCAGGCAGACGTTGTTCTGCCCTATCCGACGACGGTCCTATAAAAATTCTTAAATTCGTTATAAAAAACATTGAGGGTCACTTATATAGGGATAAAAACTATCCTATCTCTCAAGTTGGACCAAACTGCACACAATGTGCAAAATTTCATCGCAGTTTAGGAGTTTATCGCGGACAAACAATGTGACACGTAATTTTTGTGTATAAAGATATATAATATATTATTATATATATTTTAAAGTTTATTTGTAATAGGAAAACGTTACCTCCACATTAGGATTTTCCTCTGTATCGCAGGTGTAGTTTACATATATAGATTTCACAAGTACAAACATCCAGACCCAGAAAAAATATTTGTGGGCCATACAAATAATTATTCCGTGCAGGTGCACGTACAACCAGGGTTCATTGCTAAGCTACTGAGCCACGGAGCCGGTGTATATAAAGTAATAATTTAAATATTTATTGAATTCGCGAATTGCGAATGCGTTGCCGGCCTTTTAAAAAAGAGTTGGCTCTTTTCTTGAAGGTCCCTAAGTCGTATCAGTACGGTAAAATTGCCGGTGGTAGTTTCGTATCCTAAGTACAGAAAACCGTAAAATATTGTTACTATGGTAACGGGGCATTCTATCTCAGTCCTTAATGGTGACAATGCATCTAGATTTTAATGCTTAATTGAAGATAGATGTAGGTATCTATTGACGACAGCGTCGACTTATGGTTGACTTTGTGATCGTTTATCACTTTGATTTTAAAAAAAAAGGATAATTGGATCAATATAAGACTTGTTACGATAGGATCATTGTAGCTCAGGGGTTAAGCGCTCGCTGTAAATTTCGAAGTACGCGAGCAATCCGCGTTCGATCCCCACTGGCAAATTTGAAATAGTTAAAGCCAATTTTAAGTTCTGCTTTACCACCTGATCAGCGGTGAAGGAAAACATCGTGAGGAAACCTGCATGTCGGAGAAATAAATAAATATTTCGAAGACACGTGGAGTTCGCCAACATGGAATGGTGCAGCGCTACGGACATTTGCTTGCCCTAAAACCCTGTCAGAAATGAGAGGAGGCCCAGCAGTGGGACGTATATAAGCTGTAATTAAGACAAGTTTGGTTAAATGACTTAATCCGAGGGAGAGTGCAACATCATATATGAAGATTTATAAATACGATAATTTTAATACCCTGACTAAAATGCACATTTATTGTTACGGCCTACGGCTGCTCCCTTAAAGGTCAAATCCTCAGGGGCCCATTCAGCTGAGTTTCGACGAGCAGACGTAGGTCGGGCCTCCTCCAGGCCAAAGTGGAAAATCTCTAATTACACTAAACTATATGGGAGAGCGTTCTATACTACGGCCAGTCGACCGGGAGGATATTAGAAGGAGCTTACTTACCTATATCCAAGGCGACTCGTCCCTCCGGAGTCGGTCAGCTCGCATTTGGTTGTGTAGTGCAAGGGAAATAAGGTGATATGATGTGTATCTGGGTGTGACTGATGGTGATTGACCCTAGACCTTGGCCGTCGGCAGCAGCCCGGTCGTCGACACCGCTCCAAATTGAGGGAACCTTCCGCAGCGTTGTCCACAGTAACTTTCCTCTTTCGTCACTACGACAGTCAATTAACTCTATCGTACGATAAACTAACTTACAAAAGCCACTAACTCTCGTTGGGTATAAGGTTAACGCACAAAACGCACACGGAGTGTCCGGATCAAAGGTCACTACCGTTTCGCGTAGCAACAGTTATTTCTAGAATATCAAAGGCCGCACTAGCTAATATTGCCGAATGTACTTATGCAGATTCTGAGTCAGACACAATGAGTCCCTGGGAAGCTCTCCAGCAGAAATGCGCGTCACAAATCCTAGACCGTATATTTACTGGCCGCGCCTAATTATTCCGAGTTCCAGACAAAAATGACAGAGCGCTGTCCCAAGCACAGCTGACAGACGACTCTTTCGCCTTTACGCGTTCTCAACCCACCGCTCGGCCGACGGCAAAACCGGTATGGCACCGAGCCGCGCGCCCTCACGCGTTAGTTCCTGAAATTAGCGATTGGCGCGAACAAACCCCCGTCCCGGACATAAGGACCTATGTCCGCGAGCAAACCGGCAAGCGGGACAGGGTCGCGACGGCACATTGCAAGACCGAATCTACACCAAAACTAGGCCACCTTAGGCACCCCATCAGATCTTGCAACCCTAACTAACGCCTCAAAGTTACAGCCCCAACGTGAGCAAGCCGAAAGGTTGAATTGGATGCCCTTCCTGGACATCGCAGCCCATAAAGAAGTCCTATTCTGGACAGAAGTCCGACGACCTCTTTCTTCTTATACATAATTTTCCAAATAGCGCGACATTCAATTTGAAATGAATTCAAATTTTCTTTTCAGCAACCAGGCGCAACAATCAAATGCAGTGATTAAATATATTTACAAAACATATGCAGCAGCATTTAAAGGAGTAGATTAAATTCAATTCTTTAATCACAACCGCTACAAATATGGAAATTTCGCGGAAAACCCAAAAGCATTTTTAATTTTAATTTAAAGAATTTTTAACTAAGTACTCGACCAAACTAATCT